CGAAAGGAGGAAAATGAATCCGGACGCAATGAGCTCAATGAGGTATTATTACTTCCCTATGTATTTTTGACTGGGTTACTTTCTGTTGTATTGTCATATCGAGTTTATAGAAATTAGCTTTTGTCTATTGGAATGTAGTGACCTCTGGAATAGAGAGATTTATTTTAATTGATTTTGTGCTCCCCCCCAAAAAAATTGAACAATGATAAAAAAAACTAGAAGAGAAGTCTTGTAAATTTTCTGTATTCTGATTTTGAGGGGCGACAAGTAATAGCTAATTTGATTTTCTCTTATTTTAGTTTGCATGATAGCATCGCGTTGATTCACTTGCTGTATTGACGTGATAGCATCTCAGAAGGCTGATTTCTGAATAATAAACTATATCATTGTAATACAAGTTCTGAGAGATAGAACTTCTTTTGATATTATTGGTCTTTTGTTTGTTTTTTCTTGTACCCATGTTGTAGTTAATTCTGTTTTCGGGTTTTGCAGCAAGCTCTAGAAATTTAGGTCCACACTGAACTCTGAAGATCAGGCCACATGGAATTGCAAGATATGTAGTCAATAAGAAAATGAAAATGCATAGTTCACACTACGATAATCATTAAACAAGTTGATTCCTTCTTTAAATTTGTGTTCGTATGGTTCGAGTTGTTCTTCATTCTCTATTACTTTTGAATTCACCTTGTTGGTAACTCTAGTCAATTCTTATTTATATTATCTTCCTTTTGATTCTGCTCACAATTCAATCAATAGAAAGCCTTGGCACAGGCGAATGATGCAAAACTTGAGGGCAATTCTTTATTTAAATCTGGACTATATGAAGAAGCATTGTTAAAGTATGAGCTCGCAATTCAAGTTGCACCAGATGGGCCTTCCTCTGCTGAAATACGTTCTATTTGCCATGCAAATCGAGCTGCTTGTTTCTCCAAACTGGTATGTTCTTATCAAGGTTGATGTTGTATGTTCTGTGTTTGTTCAAATGCCTTATTCCACCATGGTGGTAAGAACTTGAGATCTGTGATATGCAGAGCTCCGATGTGTGATACACTTTATTCTTGATAAAGCATAATTGAATATTTCTTGATACTAAGCTTGTCACATTATATGCATGTGGTGCTTTTGTCCTTGATTATAAGAATCTTATATTGGTGGATGAGCAAAGAGAGACTTTTTAGAAAACTATTTTGGATTCGTTTTTTCATACCTTTTTTCTTGTTTTATTCTGTCTTTCTGTGGGGGCAGGAAATGTGTTTCAGAGTTATTATCTCTATATGGTAAGTTCAGATAATACTGATGTTTGTGCAAATTTGCATTTCGTAAGGAGTTTGAAAACATTAATTACCTCCAGAAAAAAATAGATAGAAATACTTGTGGCCTTGGTCTTGTTCTCCTGTTAGGTTCTCACAAGAAACCCAAATAAATTTTAAATTATCTGCTCAACTTTTTAATGGAAAACTGTTTTTCCATAACATGTTCAGTTGCACAAGTTCTTTAAGGTTTTATTTGGGACAGAGCTTATAATCATGGCATAGAAAATTCTACGGCATATCCATCTGTCTCAGTGCATCTCTGCCTCTCACACCAAACTGGGGATAAGCCATGAAGTCCACTGTCATCGTGGTTCTTTCTGTAACGACTGAACGGTGCTGGTACATGACTTCTGGAATTATCCCATTGCATAATGATGTCATCTCTTGATCATTCACATGCAATTTTCTTCTATCTCATTTATGTGTGGAGTGAAAAAGGGTACTCTGGTTTTCTCAGAAGAAGACCTGAGTGGATGTTCTCATAAGCTGCTTTTCTGGTTTTTGGATTATCTAATTTAGGGGCAATTTCCTGTGACCAAAGTTGGGTGGGAAAAAGAAAGCAGTCAATGTCTTTCCTCTACATCATGATTCATGAGTTTGACTTCGCTCTTCTAGTGCCACTCTGTATAATGTATATATGCTCTTCATTGAACTCTCGGGATGACTGCATCAAAGATGCAGTGGTGGTACATCTGAGAATTCTTAATTGGCTAGTTGTAAATAGCCCCTGGGATATGGATCTTAAGATTTCTAGATCCCCATGGATGCATCTCTGCACTTTTCAGGCCTTTGATATTGACATCTCGATCTTTCACCCTTCCTTTCTCCTCGCAGAATTGGAATTTTTTCCCCCTTTGCTTATATTATGTTGGGTGGGAGTGAAATTGGGCGTTTAAGCTTATTCATCATGTATTAGCATTATCTGATCATCGATAATTGACAGCTTCACTATTTTGTTTTTAAGTTTCCCCCTACTGGTTTAATGCATGTGACAGTGTTGTGAATCTTATATTTTAATGGTGTGCAGGGAAAATTTGAAGAGACAATCAAGGAATGTACGAAGGCATTAGAACTAAATTCTATGTATGTAAGAGCACTGCAAAGAAGAGCGGAGGCATGTGAAAAGCTTGAACAATATGAAGAGTCTATTTCTGGTAAAGTTGGACACAACTATTATTTGTTACTTGCTGGATACATTTATTTTTTACTTGCCTTTTCCGTGTCATTTAATCCTCTTGCCTTCACTGTCCCTCTTCTCTCAATTGGCTGCGGGTATACATGCAGATATGTGCATTGTGGGAGGTTTAGATGAGCAAACTGAATTTGGTTGTAGCACGTGTGTGTAAATAAATCTTTAGTGTACAATGCAAATGACACTCATTAGTCATTTAATTGTATTAGATTTGTCACTTCGCTTTTCTTGTCTTTCTCATCTCCAGCTTCATTATTCTTTTTTTGCAGACATGACAAAAATCTTGGAATTGGATCAGTCAAATGACCAAGCTAGGAGAGCCATCATTCGGTTAAAACCATTAGCAGATGAGAAGCGTGAAAAGATGAAGGAAGAGATGATTGGTGAGCTCATATAAGTTAAATCTGTATACATATACGGTGCTTGTTTTGCACCCTCCTCTCGTGAATCATTCCTTGTCTTGGTTCTGACTCTAAACTATTCGTATCACGACATAGGGCACTATCTGCCTCAGGAAGACATGGCACCTGATTGATGTGGCTTCTCAGGGCACAGCAGATGCAAATGCACTCACACAAGTTTATTATTATATAGCTTACTAGACTTTTAAGTTATCTATCCTAGTTCACTCAAAACAACGGTCTGTTTGAGTCCTGTTGCCTTGCACTGATCTTATTAAGAGCCAGAAAATTTCAAAATCAGAACTAATATTGTTTTGGATGTCAATTTAAATATGATTTTACCAGAAGAATTAACAAATTAGGACAAACTTTTCTTTTGAGTTTCATTCCTTCTTTCCCATTTTTAGAGAAAGAGAGAAACATATTCGTGTACAAGTGGTTTTGGCAGTGGTGTATATTAGAAAGAGACTTTAGATACAGAAACTGATGTTTCCTGAATTAAGTTCTAAAAAGATTGATACTTCAGAATGGATTACCTTGTCAAAAATCTGCTTAGATGATGACCAGGGGTTGGAGTTTTTTCATCAGTTTTTATTCCTTTGGCTTGCACAGGAAAGATCCGAAACTTCAGACCCTCTGGGTTTGCCTCTAACCCAGTTTCATTTGGTCAAATAACTTTGAGCACTAATCTTTGTTACTTTGAGCAATGAGAGCTATGCTTGCTTGTCTTTAATTTATAAATCTTGNTTGGTCAAATAACTTTGAGCACTAATCTTTGTTACTTTGAGCAATGAGAGCTATGCTTGCTTGTCTTTAATTTATAAATCTTGGGATATTTATTCAAGGCAAAGTGGACTGGTGGTCTCAGGTTGTCCCAGATTAAAGTAAGCATGTGTATCATTTACATATTACGGTATGAGAGCATAAAAATATTCTTTTTTTCACCTCAAAGTTAAAAGGGGAACATAGTTGTATTGCCTTGCTAATTCTGAATCTTGTACCGTAAGATTTCGTGCATGTAAATTTTATATAGTTTCCTGGATATGTACAGTCAGTGTATTGTAAATAACTCTAGAAGCATTTACTTTCCTGCACTTGCAATATTACAGATTATAATACTTGATAAAATTCACGAATAAACTATCATTAGCTTCTGCTGCTGCTTGTGTTCATTATTTTGTAAAATGTCTGTGTAGATTGATTATCCAAACATCTTGTCTTTGGTGCTTCATTTCCTTGTTACATGATTCTTTGGTTAGATTTTCTCAATTTGAGGAAGTCTGTGTGGGTTTCATTTGGCTATTGTTTGTGCTTTTTCGACAAGCCCTATTATATGGAGCTAACGTGTTCCTGATGTGATTCTGTGATGATATAGTCTTTCCCAATATCTTGCTAATTGAACAAAAAGTATGCAGAAGATATATTGCGTTTGCTCACGTTTATCCTTAGAGAAGCTTTAAAAGTCAATATATATGTAAGTATGTAACCATCTTATTATCAATGCGAAAGAAAACTATTATTTCTAAATGGCCTCTGTTTGATGATGACTGAATATTCTTAAGAGTCAAAATCAGTTGCTTTCAAAATTCTGGATTCTTTAGACATGCTCTCTCTCACAAAAGTCTCTTGGATTTTGTTGATTGGCAGGGAAACTGAAAGAAATGGGAAATAGCATTCTGGGTCGTTTTGGGATGAGCACCGACAACTTCAAAGCTGTCAAAGATCCTAATACTGGCTCCTATTCTTTTTCCTTTCAGCGCTAGGTGTGCTTTTTTGCATTTAAAGTCTCTATATTTTCCTTCTTCAGGGGAGAAACGGTACACTAGACTTGTAAAAAGTTGGTAGAATGATGTGATGGTCGGAAAGCTTGTTTGTCTTTGTACTGATCTCACAATATTTCGATCATACATTTGAAAACTGTGTCTCGACTTTCAGTGCAAAGTTGGAAAATATTACTTTAACCATGTTGATAATTTGATATTGATATACTCATTTTATTCTGTACTATTGTGTGTTTTCCGAACTTATGTTATTGAATTATAAAGAGTACTTATCTCCTTAACAGATAAATACTGTTGCAACTGTATTAGATTAGAGACATTACAAAATGTATCATCTTTATCCAACTAGAAGATGATCAGCTTCAATCCTCTCCATTTATGGGGTTTCTGTAAAAAACAAAACCAGATTCCTAGACCTCGCACCACGTCTGTAATGCACAATTTTACAGAACAATTCTTCACTCATTCAGGGCTATGCTGGTAGGGCATTCTCGTTATCATGTTCCTGCAGGACCGGCTTCTCCGCCAACATTGCAGCGTGTTGCTCCAAATACTCTCTGCTATTCATCTCTGTCAACCTGCACTTAACAAACGTGTGCTAAATGTAAAAACAAGACATGAAGCATGTCCTAGTTTTCTTCAACCAAAAGTGGGAACCTCTCTTACCTACTAATGGTACGATCTTTTGCAAAACCTAATTCATTGTCTACACAAATGTCTGAATCATCGGATTTCCTAGATCTTGAAGAGGTTCGGGGTGCCATTTGTTGAGCATCTGACACTGTCACAATTCGTTCAAAAAGTTCAACAGGAGTCCCCTTAGCACTGCATAACAATCTAGCTTTATTTTCATACATCACCTGCAAAAGCATACGTTTTGTAGCACAATATGGAAAAAAGAGAACTAGAACATCTGACATCAGGTGTAATGTTTCTGAAACAGAAGACTTTTAAGAAAAATATAGTAATTTTAAATTTGACAATGGATCACTTCCATCCATGACACATGAATACTAGGTAAAAAAATTTGAATCCTGAATCGCAAAAGTGTGTCAGTTATCAACTTGTCAAACTAGCGAGCGAGTGGGTATATAATAAATCAAAAATGCATCTGGGTACATTATAGAGCAAAATGTATATACTTCTAGAAGTTAATTAATGTTTTAGGCCAAGATGACAGTATTGAGAAAACACTAATCAGCTTACTCGAGATAGCAACCAAAACAAGTGACAAAGGAATATAAGCACACAAAGTGCATGTTTGGTATGCTGTGTTGGATAGAATTGGAGGATAATAAACAAGATTTTAGCCATTTTTTCCTTCTTTAATACTGTCTAACATTATCCATTTTTCCTCGACAAACATATGAAAATAGCTTGGTACTTGAATACGATCAAAGTAATTTATAGTACTAGCCATAGCTGGACGGAGTGAAATTGAACCTGACCCCTTTAAGCATTCGAAATATTCAAATCTATGGTCAGACAATAGCTAGTTAAACTTCTATAATATAGAGGATACATGAGAGGTAGAAAGCAAGAAATGACTTACTGAAGAGACCAAAATAGTCTGCTGCTCCAAGAGGCCTGTCACATAGTTCTTCGAAAGGGAAATATGCACATCCATTGGCACCCAGCGGAACCTAAGAAGTAAAAGAATTCACATGTCAAGAAATAAAATAGTCAATCTAAGTATAGAGATATGTATGCACTTCCTTAGAACAAAAACGAATTGTGAATATACCAGCAATTTCCTTCCCATGATGACTTCCACCTCTTCTTGAACAGCTCTGTGTTCCCCAACTAATTCTTGAAATTTTTCCTTAAGAAGGCTGGACAAGTCATCACCAACAAAGTAGAAACCACTCTGTGCCTAAAATCAGTCGGAACTCTTATCAATCTGTGAATGGTAAATAAAATAGAAATGTACTCTCTATATATAAAGAGGAAGTCTATTTCCACTCAAAATACTGGGATATGAAAACCACACCGAAGTCATCTTCCGATAGTCCACGGCCGAACCAATTTCATGAACAACACATCTTTCCTACATGAAAGTAAGATTGTAATTATTACTTGGGTCGATAAAGTTGGCCAAAATGCAAAAGATATCTTAGGAGAAACATGTGGATTATAGGCAATTTCTCCATCATGTGTTGACAAAATGCAATGTGACCAAATTCAGACTGAAATGAGGAGTCAAAATTTAAGATCAGAGTACGACCATATGTTAGTGGCTTGTGTGTGAACAAAAAACAACTGAAGTCCTATCTTCCCATAGCCAATTAATGAGAAAACTTTCTTTGAGCTCTACACACCTTGGAGCAGCATTTTAAGACGTAAAGACAGTATTGGAGAGCAGAATAGGCATGAGTTTAATTTCTTTTTCTCGTTTCGTGCTGTACCTCAATGTCTAATCTACCTTATCAAACATATCATCAATGTTGTCATTAATGTTGCTAATTGCTCTGTAATTACAGGCTTTCACATACCTTCAGAGTTGCAATGAATGGTAGAAAAAGATCTCTCTGGAGCCCCCCTTCATAAAGTTTATCTGGAGCTCGATTTGAAGTAGAAACAAGAATCTATCCATTTTTCGAAGTAAATAAAAACCCTCAGTTACTATGCCACTTAACAAGTCTAAATAAATATATAGGCAGACTAGAATGCAAAACAGGCATGCCAAAGTAACTTACAGCTCCATCGCTGAATAAATGTCCAAATAGACGATTTAGGATCAAGGCATCAGCAACGTCAGTCACCTAATAAGACAACAAAACCAATCATGGATTTTAAACCAAGAAAAGAGAAGACAAGAAGGAAAGAATCAACAGCAAACAAGAAAATAAATAGAACACTGGTACGATGTCCAATCTAAAGCCGGGCACCCCTACTGCAGTATCTTTTATTAGGAGCACCTAAAGGTTATCTTGAAGCATATGTGGCACTTATTCAGACCAGAAAGATAAAATGCACTCAAATCAGAAAGGCAAGAGAATTTAGGAACTGTTCCAACTCTGACATACCATAAATTCATCAAGACATAACAAGAGAGATTCATCTGATATCTCTCCAGCGACAACTTCTAGAGGATCTGACACACCCTTGTGCTTCTGAAATAATATCACATTCCAACAACAATTTGGAAGTTTTATATTAGTACTGGAGCAAATTGCATATTTTAGAGTAAGGCCAGCAAGAAATAAATACAATATGGTATAGAAGGTCTGATGTAAGTGCGAAACACTTTTCTAATGCAGAAGAAATATTATAGTAGCCCTAATGAAGAGCCTGGTAAAGTATGAATGTTCAACAATATCAATTTATCCTGGTGAATCTACTGAAAATTGCAATAAGAGGAAACACAATAGCATTTATACTTGCAAACGGCGGTGGACATCCAGCATAAAGTCATGAAAATGGATCCTCTTTTTCCTCCAGTTGCAAGGCCTGGAAGACAAAAGAATTTTGATTGCAAAAAATAGTGCTTATAAAATCTATTGAATTGGTATCAATGCACACAGCTATGCCAAGTCTAATTACGTTTTCAAGATTGGATAAATCTGATGCTTACAATTGTTCAAAAAACAGGTCCATCAGCATAGTCTTGCCTGTGCCCACTCCACCATAAAGATAAAGTCCTTTCACCGGTGCATATGAAGTTTGTGGTATGAAACGGGACCACAACCATCTACTCCTGAAAATCGACAGCAGAAATGATAAAGATGTCATATTTTAAATAAATATGAAGTGGAAGACATAAAGCTAGCCATTGATGAGAACAGGGGAAAATCTTGATGATCAACAGTGATTCCTGATGCTCCCAGAAATAGTGATTAATATTTACCTCCCAGCTTTTTCCGAAGTAGCATATCGATCCAACCTGCAAGCATCAGCCTTTTCAACGAGCTCATCGTAGAGTCTTTGAAGCTCTGTTAAGGAGCCTAACTGTAAAGTCATTATCAGCACATACTCAGAAGGTAAAAAAAATGATAGAAAGAAAGACATTGTCCAAAATATTTCATCAAACAGATATCAATTTGCCTAATCTCTGAAATTAGATATTCTATTCCAAATCTACAATTACCCCTAATATGGAGTTAGTTGAATGGTGCTCAAGTATTCAATTCATTTAATTAAACATGCCAACAATATTTTCCCATCAATTTTAGCAGGTTACAATAGTTTCGTTCCTGAATAGAAACTCATTTGTAAGTATTGTGTACAACCTCAGAATGAGGTCATTAGTGCTTGCTTTTATGCTTATTTAAGCTTAAATTTTCATCTTGTAATCCGACGGATTCATAATTTCCAGCAAACTAAGAAAGAAGATTAATTCCAAATAATCATCATTGCTTATTCCAACACAGTCAAAAGTTCTGCCAAGTTAAGAAAGAATATATAATACAATCAAACAGGACTAAAATAATCATCATACCTGGCTAGTATCACCATCCAAAAGTTCACCAGCACTAATCCTACGTTCATATTCCACAAGAGGTCCAGATTGATTTAGTTCTGAGATTGAAACAGTCAACAGAAAACCAAGAAATATGAGAAACCAATATCAGAAGAGTAAGATTGAAGCTTTTTAACAATACATAACCTCCATGAGTAACATTAGCTGCATCGGTAAACATGACCCGGGAGATCATCTGTGATGGATGCCTACATTCACAAACATCTACTTTTCTTGATAGGCTGTATACTGACCGGAAATTTGTATTGCACCAATAATCTCGTCTTTTCTGGATTCCATCATAGGTATAGTTCCATCTATACCGAAAAGCTGATCTAAATTGTCTTACAGACTGAATAACAGTTCTCATTTTCAATCCAGGACTTCTCTAAAGATTGCGGTGACTCAAAATTCACCCAATAGTATACAGAAGAGAATCAAAGCTCAAAATATCTTGAGTTTCACTAAATTCCCAGCAGGAAGCTGTCAAAAAAGGGTATCGGAGTCGGGATATACTCACTTTAACCCAAAAGTTCAAAGCAACTTTACAATAATGCCATTCATTGAATACAATAATGCCATTCATTGAATAATCAACCTTTTTCATATATAATCAAGTTGGAATACAATTTAGGGTCACCAAATACCAAAATTAAAATTAAGAAAAAAATCTGAACGTCCCTTTAATATCGCATTTATTTTTCAATCTAAAACATTGATTAGATTAACCAGCCCATAAACGACGAACTAAATTCACAAAAGTCAAAGATAAACAGATAGAAAAAATCATCAATCCATGATCAAAATCGTAATTTTCAGCTTGAATTGAAATTAAAAAAAAAATGAAAGTAAAATGTCAAAAGACAAACCTGATTGATTGTCGTATCAATACCCAAAATCCTATTTATACAGATTGAAAAAAGATTGCTCGCTTCATGCAATTCTACTATGCATAGACATGCATATCCACAATTCTTGAGAATTGAAAAAGAAAAAGAATTCTTTTTACACGATGCTTTTATAAAGCCCAGAAATCAGAGAATCCTAATTCCTATACTCGGAGGAATTCTTGGAGAGAATGGAAAAGATAATGGGATCTGGTCTTCTCCAATGTTGTGTGAATTTTTCTTGGGTTTGTTGTTTCATCTCTCTCTCTCTCTCAAAATTCGTAGTACATGGATCCGTACGTGTTAATTGTTTTATTTGCTGTCTGTCTGACTCAGATTATTCTCATCTTTCATGGCTAATCCCATTTTTTTTTTCCTTTCCTTTCTTTTTCCTTAGCTCGCTTAAAAGGGCTAAATTACTTTTTCTTAAGTAATTTCTTATCTGGAAATCTTTTCCAAATTTTAATTTAAAAAAGTAACTTTTTTTAGCGAACAGATAAATAGGTGTTTTTAACTTTGATTCATAGAATATTATCTTTTAATATTTATGAACTAACTTCTTTTATTAAGGAAAAATAAGGGTCGTCAATTACTAGTATGACTAAACACAAAGTATTTATAAAATTTTTGTTAATTGTAATGGCAATAAATAGGGCTGAATATGGTCCGATTCGGTTCTAACGAGAACCGAATCGAAATTTTCGAGAATTTAGTAAGTGGAACTGTCGGGTCCAAATTTAATTACGGAACCGTTCAGGTTCGGTTCGGTTCAGTTCGGTCCGGGCCGGTTCGGTTCCGTATTATAATTAAATTTTTTAATATATACAAAGTTACGTTAATTTAATTAATAATATATTTAATATTAGCTCTTACAAAATAACGTATTTCAATCTTATGTGTTTCACGTCTCTCTTTACTGAATTCTTCATAAATTTGATTATTAAAATCACAGAAAGAAAAAGATAACGAGCTCAAAATAATTAAGGGAGATGTTGTAGAGTTTTAATTCGATTTTCTCCGGTAGAAACGATACTACAGTAGAATAACAGATTTGGATAAAATTGAGGTCAATTTGATTAAGTCGATTTTGAACTGAATATTAGAAATTGGAAAATCATATTTTGTGATTTGAACTAAATTAACTAGTTAACAAATTTATTTAGAAAAATAAAATAATTTTACTTATTTAAAATAAATTAATTAAAAAAATTACGAAGATTCAGTTCTTCGGGTTTTGGCCTAGAACCGAGAATCGAACCATACCCGTCGGTTCTTGATTCAAATACCCGTTCGGGTATTTAACTTGAAAAGAACCGTCGGGTTCGATTCTGTTCGGTTCGGATTCGGCTCGATCGGTTCAATTCGAGAGTTTTGTCCAGCCCTAGCAATAAATAATTAAAAATAATTTACTGTCACAATTAGTAATGTTATAGATTAATTAATTCTTGACATCTTAATCTTTTAATGCCCACAAAGAAACCCAATCTTAATGCTTAATTATTGAATTAACTACACACACACACAAAATTATTATTAAAATACCTAAAACGTCGATGTGTCAATGTCAACTTATATCATATAATAATGGTCGATATTGTCAACAATGAATCAATTATTTGTTTTCTAAAATTGCAAAAATAAAAGAACTTGCATTCTTTACATTTATAATAAGTCACCATCTCACCTAATGGTGTCCTACTCGAGACAAGCACCAATGTTCAAAGTAACTATTGACACTGTCAATGGTGAATTAATTGTGACTAGCATTATTTTCTAAAACTAAAGAAATAAAAGAAAGCCTTGCATGAAATTATGTTCCCATAATCAAATATTGAATTGGTGTAATTTTAAATAATTGATGAAGTAGAAACCAACTAAAGACTTATAACCCATTTATGCTAGCATACTCTTGACTCTTTTAATCAGCAGATTATTATTTAAATATGTTTGAAAATATCTTCTTAATTTCAAAATAGCTTACCAAATGGACCGTTAATTGTGTCCAACACCAATTTATATCATAAAATATCTGTTGACATTACAGTCAAATTACGATTAACTTTTTACATAGATACCAAATATGGTAATTTTGTCAATAAATAATTTATGAAGTGTCCAAATTGTTTTTATCAATTTGTGGGCATTTTTGAAGTTGTTGGAATTATTGGAGCTTTATTTATTAAAGAAAGATGTCTTTATCTTTATTGTTGGGTTTTTTATACCCAATAAATTTCGGGCTATGATTTTATCGTAGGTTAATATTATGTGGAAATTACAGATTTTAATAGATTTGAAATTCTCATTTCTTAAATGAGATGCCATGTTTAATATTTCACAAATCATAAAATTTTTTAATTAATTATTATATTTAAAAATTAAAATAATTTTTCAAACCCTAATTATTTCACTCTCAATCCCCCCTCTCTCTCTATTCTCACAGGAAGCTCGTCTCTCTCTCTCTCTCCCTCTCTCTCTCTCTCTCTCTCTCTCTCTATATTCTTGCCTCTCGCTCTTTGCCAGAAACACCGCCGCCGAAGGTCACTCCCACAAATCGACCATCACCAAACAAGCAGCCATCGGAACATGGTTGAAAAGCAACAACTCGAAGAAATCAAGTCTCAACTGTAGGGAAGATGGTGGTCCGACGATTGCAGTCGACAATTTGCTGGATATTTAGGGTGAATGTGGTGGTGGTTTTGATTTTTAGAGGTGATGTGGATGTGGTGGTGGTGGTGGAATCGACTCATGACTGTGGGAAGATGGTGGTCCGATGGCTGTAGTCGGCGATTCGATGTGGCAGCAGGTGAATGTGGTGTTAATGGTTGTGGATTGGGGTATCTGTTCAAGAATTGTTGCATCTCTGTGGTCGGAGTTGGTGGCGTCGCTATGGGTGGAGGCGTTGGTGGTGGTGTGGTAGGTGAAGATGGGGTGTTGCGCAGCAATGTTTTTAAGGTGATGGTGTTTGTGGTGGTGTTGCAAGGTGGGTGGAGGGTATGGTGCGGTGGTGATGGGTTTTCTGAGGTGCTAGGTATTATTGGAGGTTTGTGATGGTGTCTGTTGGTGGTGCAGATGGATGGAGGTGCTGTCTGGCGCAGTGGATCTGGCAGTGGTGGTTTTGGTGGTCGTGGTCGTGGTCGAGTCGAGTCGGGTCGGTGGCTGTGGTCACAAGTGTTGGTCACAAATTATTTGGTTAACTGTGACCAATTAAATTGGTTAATTTGTGATTAATAAACAATATGTGACTAATAAATAATATACATTGTGATTAATAAATAATTTGTGACCTAAAAATTATTAATCTGTGACTGATAATTTGTGACTGTATAATAAACTGTGACTTATAATATTCATGATTTGTGACCAATGAATAAATCGTGACTCATAAATTTTTTGATTTGTGACTGATGAATAAACTATGACTTATAAAATTTTTGAATTGTGACCATAAAATAATTTGTAACATAAAATTTCTGATTTGTGATCGAAAATTAATAAGTGACTAATTAAATCATTAATTTGTGATCAAATTGTATAAATATGTGACATAAATATATTTAATTAATTAAATCATAAATAAATTTTAATAAAAATTTGATTTTTGAAGTTTGAAACTTGTTTTCTTAATTTTGAAATGTGTGATATTTAAAATCTCACTTATAAAATTTTCCCTAATATTATTTCATAGGCATATGCCGATGAATGAAATAAGTCAAACAACTAAGTTCATGAGTTACACCCGATCCAATTGTATTCCCTCTTGAATGGCTTGAATTTTGGCTCATTTACCTCTTTAAAGGTTCAACTTAAAGTCTAACCCTAGAGTATATATATGGCTATAACCCTAACCACTTTCTTATGATGTTTTGTGTGGTTTTGTGAGAGAAAAATGGAATCCCGACTGCCCCCTTTGTGTGTGAAAAAAGGACCTCTAGAAGTATCTAAAACACTTGTTTAATATGTGCAATTGGTGGTTCCTTCATAGTATACCTTTGTGGTGTCTTCTCTTAGCCTTTATGATCATAAATCATCATCTTTTATTATCCTATGTGGGTAAGATTGAATAACAACTGAGGTAAATAAATTGGTTGCGGTTTGGAGTTGATTGGATTGGTTGTTGGTTGAAAAAGGTACGTTGGACTAAATCCGAAAATCACCGATTTGAAGATCTTTCAAGAAAACTTCCACAACATTTATCAAATAAAACAGAGCAATGCTATATAACTTTAATTTAGGTGGCGCTAAATGATAGGTTAAATGAAATGTAGAATTAAATAAATACTTTAATTTTACTTATTATTTAATGTCACATTAATGCCACATAGATTCAGGTTACAAATTCGACGGGGTCAAATAGCATTATTAAATAAAACATGAATTAAAAACAACGTGGGAATGGATTGTTTTATCCGGGGAAATTGCCCATGTTTTGGTACTCCATACCATACCCCTATCGCCGCAAACAAAGGCAATTTACTTTTCGGCCCCGAAAAATTAACATACTATTCAATAGTTAATATATATTAATTCTGACGAAAATTGTAGAATTGGTCCTCAACCTATTGCCAAATAGGCAAGTCAAGGTACAGCTAATTCCAAGAATAGAGAACATCCAACATCTCTATCAATCGTTGCACAACACTCGTAAGAACAATGCTGCACTTAAAATTTCTAGGCACTACCCAAAATTAAACAAGCATCATGATCACAACATGAACTGCTTCGGGTCCTAGATTGTCAAGCCATCGCACGATTGGACAGCAGCCCAAATCTATGCCCCCAAGTGCACCTTGGATTTACGAGTTTCATTATAATGCTTATAAAATACTTAAATATCTAATAGCTACAAGAAAAAGTTGTTATACATCCCCTAATTTGATGCAATTTTGACGAGGTTTTTTTTTTTTTTTTTCAAGAATGTACATCCTTTGTCAATGTCCTAAAGTCCACAAAGCTTGGTTTCATGGTTTGAGTTATGCTACATAAACAGGGTTGGTGACAGGGTGACACGTGTCGATCACTGATTGGACAGTTTGGGAAGAAAAAAAAACAACAAACGCTGACATGCAGTCTCATCTGTCACCTCTCTCTTGTCATCTAATTCTGGCCAAGTGTCTTTACTCTTTATAGTTTATCCTCAAGCTAAATTCTCGAAAATATCCACTAGAAGTAATTACTGATATAGAAGTTATAAAAAAAATGTGATAATGAATATCGACATTGCAAAAATAGAAATCCAATCCATAAATATGAGAGGATTAAACCTATTTTCCTTAGGAACTTACTTTTAAGATACAAAATTAGTAATTAAACTACTCGAATTAAAAAAATTAACATATTTTTCAATATTCCA